TGCCCAGCATCACAGCAGCAAGTGGTTTCTGTGCTGCACCATGAGTTGAAGGCCAAAGTGGAAAAGGAGAGGTGCCACCGTAGAACCAGCAGCACCAGTGGGGCAGCCTGTGGTCTACACATGCCTTGACCAAGCAGTGTGCTTATGCAGTGAGCACCGAGCGTGGGTTCCATGGGAGAGGACTCAAGCACCGCAGAATGTCCTGTGAAGGCCAGGTGTGTCACTGGTGCTGCGGTTTCCACTGGCTGCAGATCGACAGTACATGCGCCACTCTGCAGCATGCTAGTGTATGTGCCATGCTGCAGTGCTGGTGTATGCGTGTGCCACGCTGCAGTGCTGGTGCATGTGTGTGTCACGCTGCAGTGCTGGTGTATGCGTGTGTCACGCTGCAGTGCTGGTGCATGTGTGTGTCACGCTGCAGTGCTGGTCCATGAGTGTCACTCTGCAGTGCTGGTGCATGTGTGTGTCACTCTGCAGTGCTGGTGCATGTGTGTGTCACTCTGCAGTGCTGGTCCATGAGTGTCACTCTGCAGTGCTGGTGCATGTGTGTGTGTCACTCTGCAGTGCTGGTGCATGTGTGTGTCACGCTGCAGTGCTGGTCCATGTGTGTCACTCTGCAGTGCTGGTGCATGTGTGTGCCACTCTGCAGTGCTGGTGCATGTGTGCCACGCTGCAGTGCTGGTGTATGTGTGTGTCACTCTGCAGTGCTGGTGCATGTGTGTCACACTGCAGTGCTGGTGCATGTGTGTGTGTCACTCTGCAGTGCGGGTCCATGTGTGTGCCACTCTGCAGTGCTGGTGCATGTGTGTGTCACTCTGCAGTGCTGGTGCATGTGTGTGTCACTCTGCAGTGCTGGTGCATGTGTGTGTCACTCTGCAGTGCTGGTGCATGTGTGTGCCACTCTGCAGTGCTGGTGCATGTGTGTGTCACTCTGCAGTGAGGGTCCATGTGTGTGCCACGCTGCAGTGGTGGTGCATGTGTGTGTGTCACTCTGCAGTGCTGGTGCATGTGTGTGTGCCACTCTGCAGTGCTGGTGCATGTGTGTGTCACTCTGCAGTGCTGGTCCATGTGTGTCACTCTGCAGTGCCGGTGCATGTGTGTGCCACTCTGCAGTGCCGGTGCATGTGTGTGTCACTCTGCAGTGCCGGTGCATGTGTGTGTGTCACTCTGCAGTGCTGGTGCATGTGTGTGTCACTCTGCAGTGCTGGTGCATGTGTGTGTGTCACTCTGCAGTGCTGGTGCATGTGTGTCACTCTGCAGTGCTGGTGTATGTGTGTGTGTCACTCTGCAGTGCTGGTGCATGTGTGTGTCACTCTGCAGTGCTGGTGCATGTGTGTGTCACTCTGCAGTGCTGGTGCATGTGTGTGTCACGCTGCAGTGCTGGTGCATGTGTGTGTGTCACTCTGCAGTGCGGGTCCATGTGTGTGCCACGCTGCAGTGCTGGTGCATGTGTGTGTGTCACTCTGCAGTGCTGGTGCATGTGTGTGTGCCACTCTGCAGTGCTGGTGCATGTGTGTGTGTCACTCTGCAGTGCTGGTGCATGTGTGTGTGCCACGCTGCAGTGCTGGTGCATGTGTGTGTGCCACTGCAGTGCTGGTGCATGTGTGTGTCACTCTGCAGTGCTGGTACATGTGTGTGTCACTCTGCAGTGCTGGTGCATGTGTGTGTAACTCTGCAGTGCTGGTGCATGTGTGTGTCACTCTGCAGTGCTGGTGCATGTGTGTGTCACTCTGCAGTGCTGGTGCATGTGTGTGTCAATCTGCAGTGCTGGTGCGTGTGTGTGTCACTGCAGTGCTGGTGTATGCGTGTGTATCACTGCAGTGCTGGTGCATGCGTGTGTGTCACTCTGCATTCCTGGTGCATGTGTGTGCCACTCTGCAGTGCTGGTGCATGTGTGTGTCACTCTGCAGTGCTGGTGCATGTGTGTGTCACTCTGCAGTGCTGGTGCATGTGTGTTACTCTGCATTGCTGGTGTATGCATGTGTGTGTGTCACTCAGCAGTGCTGGTGCATGTGTGTGTCACTCTGCAGTGCTGGTGCATGTGTGTGTCACTGCAGTGCTGGTGCATGTGTGTGTCACTCTGCAGTGCTGGTGTATGTGTGTGTCACTCTGCAGTGCTGGTGCATGCGTGTGTGTCACTCTGCAGTGCTGGTGCATGTGTGTGTCACTCTGCAGTGCTGGTGCATGTGTGTGCCACTCTGCAGTGCTGGTGTATGTGTGTGCCACTCTGCAGTGCTGGTGTATGTGTGTGTGCCACGCTGCAGTGCTGGTACATGTGTGTGTCACTCTGCAGTGCTGGTACATGTGTGTGTGTCACTCTGCAGTGCTGGTGCATGTGTGTGCCACTCTGCAGTGCTGGTGCATGCGTGTGTGTCACTCTGCAGTGCTGGTGCATGTGTGTGTGTCACTCTGCAGTGCTGGTGCATGTGTGTGTGTCACTCTGCAGTGCTGGTGCATGTGTGTGCCACTCTGCAGTGCTGGTGCATGCGTGTGTGTCACTCTGCAGTGCTGGTGCATGTGTGTGTCACTGCAGTGCTGGTGCATGTGTGTGCCACTCTGCAGTGCTGGTGCATGTGTGTGTCACTCTGCAGTTCTGGTGCATGTGTGTGTCACTCTGCAGTGCTGGTGCATGTGTGTGCCACTCTGCAGCGCAGGTGCATGTGTGTGTGCCGCTCTGCTCTGCTGGTGCATGTGAGTGTGCCTCTCTGCTCTGCTGGTGCGTCTGTGAGCTACTGCAGTGTTGGTGCATGTGTGTGCCACTCTGCTCTGCTGGCGTGTGTGTGCCAGTCTGCAGTGCTGGTGCATGTGTGCCACTCTGCAGTGCTGGTGCATGTGTGTGTGTCACTGCAGTGCTGGTGTATGTGTGTGTCACTGCAGTGCTGGTGCATGTGTGCCACTCTGCAGTGCTGGTGCATGTGTGTGCCACTCTGCAGCGCAGGTGCATGTGTGTGTGCCGCTCTGCTCTGCTGGTGCATGTGAGTGTGCCTCTCTGCTCTGCTGGTGCGTGTGTGAGCTACTGCAGTGTTGGTGCATGTGAATGCCACTCTGCTCTGCTGGCGTGTGTGTGCCACTCTGCAGTGCTGGCGTGTGTGTGTGTCACTCTGCTCTGCTGGCGTGTGTGTGCCAGTCTGCAGTGTTGGTGTGAGTGTGCCTCTCTGCTCTGCTGGTGCATGTGTGAGCTACTGCAGTGCTGGTGCGTGTGTGTACCGGTCTGCAGTGCTGGTGTGTGTGCACCACCTCACTCTGCTGGCAGCCTGGTGGACAGTGAGGTCAGTAGGGTGGCAGGGTCTCCTGAGGAGGGCTTCCAAACACAAATCCAAGCTGTCAGGAAAAATCCAGAGTTTTGGAAAATGCATTTTGTCCCAGGAGCCTGATGGCACTTCCTGTGAAGACCTGTCTGCGGAGGTCGGGGTGTCCTGGCCAAGGGCTGCCGGGTGAGGCACAGACGCACAGCACCTGTGGCTCCCAAACCCAGACCCTGCTCTGAGTGGAGGCCAGTGGTTCTCCATGGTCCGAACCCGCTCCGGCAGCAAGGCCTGGAAATCGCCACGAGGAGGGAGGACAGCCCGGCCTGGGGTGGTCAGCACACTTCTCTCATGGCCCCGAGGGCTCCCGTCTGGGCACTGGCTGGCTCTACACGCTAGCTGCCACCCACCAAGCCAAACGGCGCACGGTTCACACTGTCATCCTAGCTTCTGTGAAGGCTGAGGTCTGAGAATCAGGATTTGAAGCCAGCCCAGGCAGGAAAGAAGACTCTTCTCTCCAATTAACCACTAAAAAACCCAGAAGCAGAGCTGTGGCTTAAGTGGTAGAGCCTTGAGCATAAAAGGTCGATGGCAGCACCCAGGTCTCAAGTCCAAGTCCCAGGAGCGGCGACAAAATAAATAAGTAAACACATACATACATAAAATAAACAATAAATGTGAACACTGTTACTCTAACTTTTTTGGGGGGAAAGTAGTTTTGCATTAATATCTTACTCATGTTAACGTATAGTGGGTTTACTATTACAGAAACAAGATGTCCAGACGTCACGGGGGGAGCACGCAGGCCTCAGATGGTAAGTTCTGCACACTGGGCCCAGACCTCAACCCTGCCAAGAGCGGCAACCTGGACAGGCTGGAGGTTTGTGCAAGGCCAGCAGGAGGGCAGGCAGAGCAGGGTGCTGGGCCTAGCTGGCTGCAGGTCGGGAGCCTCAGTGACAGGCAGGATCCTGGGGGTGTTCAGAGCCTTGTTCCCTGGTGACAAGGGATGGAGATGGCTCACAGAAGCAGCCCAGGCAGAGGGTCAAAGGCCAAGTGGCTGTCAAACTCATTCCAGAGGTACAACTGCGTGTTTGGAGGCAAAGGCCCTGTGCTTACTGTCAGGCAAGCACAGAACGTGCAGGGGTGAAGTGTGCAACCCAGGTGCTACCCGTGCAGGCACAGCCCAGTGCCCAGACAACCCGGCGCGCTCTGCACCTGGGTGGTGGGATTTGAGGCAGGAGAAGGAAGCCGAGAAGGGCCCAATGAGGCCCGTGCCATGACAGCATCCCTGTCCCGTGCCACGGCGGCGTTCCTGTCCTGTGAGAACTAGTGCTATTGCTGCAGACTGAAGATTCCATAAATACCAGAACAAAACTCAGTAAACGCCTCTCTGCCAGAGGAACACACCTCACCCCTCCCGCTCCCCAGCATGGTGGCCAAGGAGATGGCAGTCCCCAGACCCTACCCCTGAAAATCTAACATAACCTACCTTGTACCCTGGAAAAGCACTTTAAAATAAAATTACCCAATTTTTAAATATCTGTAGCTAATTGCTTTCAGACCATAGAAAGAGAGGGAGGAGGTATAACACACAATGCATGCATGCCCACACATGCACACACATGTACAGAGGCACACGTTCCCACGGACCACACACAGATGCAGAGACACACGCGCACACGGAGGCGCAGGCACAGCCAACCCGAGAGGAAAGAGGGGACGGCCGCCCACGCCAGCAGGCACAGGGCTCCTTACCTTGGGGGGAATGAGATGTCCAGTTCATACAGTCTGTCCTTGAAGACAGACAGCTCCTTGTCAAACTCCAAAAGCTAAAGAAAAAGAAGACCAAGTCACTGGCCGTCCTTGCCAGGCCGTGGCAGTCTTTAGAGCTGGGGTAGTTGTGATCCCTGAAGTCGGCGGGGTAAACCACACTGCTCTCTCAGCCACTAGACCACAGAAAGACCTGGGTGCCACTTGGCCGTACGGTGCGGCAGCTGCCGTGGAGGTAGGCGTACCTGCAGCTCACCCGAGGCACAGGCAGGTCAGCCCAAGGGGGGCCCTGCAGCCTTCCCCAGCAGAAATGACAGCTCCCACTGTACCCAGAGCAACTCAGAGGAAGCTGGGTCAACTCTGAATGAATCACAAAAACAGTCCTACAGGTGGGTAGCCAGCCAAGAGGCAGATGGGGGGGACTACGGTTCCAGGCCAGGCTTAGCAGAGTTAGCTAGATTCCATCTCAAAGAATAAGCCAGTCTATAATCCCTGTTACAGGGGAGGAAGAGATAGGGAGAGTATAGGTAGGCTCCAGAGCACAAGACCTTACCTGAAAAATAAGACAAAAAGGACTCGGGCTGTGGCTCAAGTGGTAGAGCATCTGCCAAACATGTGCAAGGCCCTGAGCTTCCCTCTGTTTGCAGAATTCTGAACCCTCTTTGATCCAATCACGGTTGTTTCTGCAGCCATGCCATGGGCTGCGCATACAGTCCTGCAGGAAACCTGGCGTTCTGTCTCCTGGTGATCTGTCCCGTGGACAGCTATGGGAACAGAGCCAGGCAGCTCCCATTGGATGAGTGGCAGGCTCTGGCCCGCCCACCCCGTCTCTAGAGCTCACTTCTGCCTCGCTCACCCAGAGCTTAAGTGCTGCCCTGGGCCACAGCTCAGCCCACTGTCCAGTTCCTAAATCCTTTCTTCTCCTGTGTCCACCCATGACTGTTTTCTGGTGTGCTGATCTTTTTTTTTTATCACAGTGGGACTCATGTTCATATGCTTTCATCTTTTCAATCGTCTAAAGCTCTAAGACATATAAAATATGAAGCTATCATGTGACTGCTGCCAGTGGTTCAACCACCGTCAAGGTTCAGCACTGCTCCCCCTCAGATTGCGGAGGGCAGAGCCGGTCTGTACTCTGCAATGGAGATGTGCAAGGCCATTTCTAGTGACCCAAAGGCAGGCTGCTGCTTGGAAGACTCAGAGATAGGAAATAGCAGGCAAGGCACTTCAAAGTTACGGGGGGGTGGAGACAGACTCTTCTCCTCTTCTCTTTTCTTTATGCTCTGAAGAAAATTCCCAAGAACCTCACACATTACCCAGGCCTCACTTCCAGAAAGGGCCAGGGCAGAAGCCCTGCTCTGTGTGACTGGTCCCAGCTGCGGCTGGACATAGCGAGCCCCTGCTGGCCACCCCACTCCTCAAAGTCTGCAAGGAGATGCTGGGCAGGGGCCACAGGAACGGCTGGCAGGCCGTGCAGAAGGAACAGCCAGAGCCCCTCACCCCGGACTACTGCACGTGGTCAGAGGAGACCAGGGTCAGGATCCACAAGGGACCTGTGGGCTGGGCACAGGCTGCCCTGGGGCTCCTTCATCTCGGACGTGGCACGGAGGAAAGCCTGCAGAAGCTAGCCTCCTGGTCCATCCTGTGCACACAGAAAGCTCCACATGCTGCCTCGGCAGCACCGTGGAGACCACAGGGTGACCAGAGCTGCGCCCTGAGCCTCCTTGGCGACCACGTACTCACTGCCGAGTTCACACACACACGCTTGCTTTAACGGTCAGGTAAGGCTCAGTGCAAGCTGCCTGATGGCATGCTCATCCGCTAAGATGCCTCCAACAACCCAAAGCCACCTCAGGCAGCCTGCCCAGGCTCAGGGCCTGCTCCTCAAGTGGCCAGGGCCTCAGTCAGGCCTCGGACTGACATGCCAACATGGACACTGTCCACCATGGAAAGGACAGTTGTGAGGGCAGGCCTGAAACTTCCAACTAAAAAGCAGACCCACAAAAAAACGTGCAATGCTTTAATAAGCATAGCTTCATGCAAATTATGGGGAATGAAGTGGGAAGGCCTCCAGCTCACACCAGCTCACCATCACACAACAGCCCACACTCAATGTGCAAAATCCAGGCCAAAGGACATGTCCTGGTGACATGCCTTTACAACCTGAGGCTAACACGCCTTCCACATGACACCCTGCTGACTTCCCATCACGTGACTGTCTACACGCCTTCCATGACACCCTGCTGCCTTCCCATCACGTGACTGTCTACACGCCTTCCACATGACACCCTGCTGCCTTCCCATCACGTGACTGTCTACACGCCTTCCATGACACCCTGCTGCCTTCCCATCACGTGACTGTCTACACGCCTTCCATGACACCCTGCTGCCTTCCCATCACGTGACTGTCTACACGCCTTCCACATGACACCCTGCTGCCTTCCCATCACGTGACTGTCTACACGCCTTCCACATGACACCCTGCTGCCTTCCCATCACGTGGCTGTCTACACGCCTTCCATGACACCCTGCTGCCTTCCCATCACGTGACTGTCTACACGCCTTCCACATGACACCCTGCTGACTTCCCATCACGTGACTGTCTACACGCCTTCCATGACACCCTGCTGCCTTCCCATCACGTGACTGTCTACACGCCTTCCACATGACACCCTGCTGCCTTCCCATCACGTGACTGTCTACACTCCTTACACATGACACCCTGCTGCCTTCCCATCACGTGACTGTCTACACGCCTTCCATGACACCCTGCTGCCTTCCCATCATGTGGGTGTCTACATGCCTTCCATGACACCCTGCTGCCTTCCCATCACGTGACTGTCTACACACCTTCCATGACACCCTGCTGCCTTCCCATCACGTGGCTGTCTACACGCCTTCCATGACACCCTGCTGACTTCCCATCACGTGACTGTCTACACACCTTCCACATGACACCCTGCTGCCTTCCCATCACGTGACTGTCTACACGCCTTCCATGACACCCTGCTGCCTTCCCATCACGTGACTCTCTACACGCCTTCCATGACACCCTGCTGCCTTCCCATCACGTGGCTGTCTACACGCCTTCCATGACACCCTGCTGCCTTCCCATCACGTGACTGTCTACACACCTTCCACATGAAACCCTGCTGCCTTCCCATCACGTGACTGTCTACATGCCTTCCACATGACACCCTGCTGCCTTCCCATCACGTGACTGTCTACACACCTTCCATGACACACTGCTGCCTTCCCATCACGTGACTGTCTACACGCTTTCCATGACACCCTGCTGCCTTCCCATCACGTGACTGTCTATACGCCTTCCACACAACACCCTGCTGCCTTCCCATCACATGACTGTCTACATGCCTTCCATGACACCCTGCTGCCTTCCCATCACGTGACTGTCTACACACCTTCCATGACACCCTGCTGCCTTCCCATCACATGACTGTCTACACGCCTTCCATGACACCCTGCTGCCTTCCCATCACGTGACTGTCTACACACCTTCCACATGACACCCTGCTGCCTTCCCATCACGTGACTGTCTACGCCTTCCATGACACCCTGCTGCCTTCCCATCACGTGACTGTCTACATGCCTTCCATGACACCCTGCTGCCTTCCCATCACGTGACTGTCTACATGCCTTCCATGACACCCTGCTGCCTTCCCATCACGTGACTGTCTACATGCCTTCCATGACACCCTGCTGCCTTCCCATCACGTGACTGTCTACACACCTTCCACATGACACCCTGCTGCCTTCCCATCACGTGGCTGTCTACACGCCTTCCATGACACCCTGCTGCCTTCCCATCACGTGACTGTCTACACGCCTTCCATGACACCCTGCTGCCTTCCCATCACGTGACTGTCTACACGCCTTCCATGACACCCTGCTGCCTTCCCATCACGTGACTGTCTACACGCCTTCCATGACACCCTGCTGCCTTCCCATCACATGACTGTCTACACGCCTTCCACATGACACCCTGCTGCCTTCCCATCACGTGGCTGTCTACACGCCTTCCATGACACCCTGCTGCCTTCCCATCACGTGACTGTCTACATGCCTTCCATGACACCCTGCTGCCTTCCCATCACGTGGCTGTCTACACGCCTTCCACATGACACCCTGCTGCCTTCCCATCACGTGGCTGTCTACACGCCTTCCATGACACCCTGCTGCCTTCCCATCACGTGGCTGTCTACACGCCTTCCACACAACACCCTGCTGCCTTCCCATCACGTGACTGTCTACATACCTTCCATGACACCCTGCTGCCTTCCCATCACGTGGCTGTCTACACGCCTTCCACATGACACCCTGCTGCCTTCCCATCACGTGACTGTCTACACGCCTTCCACATGACACCCTGCTGCCTTCCCATCACGTGACTGTCTACATGCCTTCCATGACACCCTGCTGCCTTCCCATCACGTGACTGTCTACACTCCTTACACATGACACCCTGCTGCCTTCCCATCACGTGACTGTCTACACGCCTTCCACATGACACCCTGCTGCCTTCCCATCACGTGACTGTCTACACGCCTTCCACATGACACCCTGCTGCCTTCCCATCACGTGACTGTCTACACGCCTTCCACACAACACCCTGCTGCCTTCCCATCACGTGACTGTCTACACACCTTCGATGACACCCTGCTGCCTTCCCATCACGTGACTGTCTACACGCCTTCCATGACACCCTGCTGCCTTCCCATCACGTGACTGTCTACACGCCTTCCATGACACCCTGCTGCCTTCCCATCACGTGGCTGTCTACACGCCTTCCATGACACCCTGCTGCCTTCCCATCACGTGGCTGTCTACACGCCTTCCATGACACCCTGCTGCCTTCCCATCACGTGGCTGTCTACACGCCTTCCATGACACCCTGCTGCCTTCCCATCACGTGACTGTCTACACGCCTTCCACACAACACCCTGCTGCCTTCCCATCACGTGACTGTCTACACGCCTTCCACATGACACCCTGCTGCCTTCCCATCACGTGACTGTCTACACGCCTTCCACATGACACC